TGACTGGCTTCTGAGGATGTTCTGGTAAGTGGGCCGTTTGATAGATGCAGTTCTCGGGAGACCACGGCCCGTCCCCGCAGACGAGGCCCTGCTAAGACTCCATACAGGGCTAGCGAGATGGATGTCACAATGATCGGTCTTCAGAATGCCGGCAAGTCTTCTCTGCTGCGTGTGTTGGCGGTAAGTCGATCTGATACAGTCCTTCTGGGTCCTGGTTGCTGACCATAACAGGGTGGGGAGTTCACTATCGAGTAAGTTATAAATGGTCTCACATCTGAGATCATCTCACCGGGACCGTGTCCTAATTCCTTATAGCTCCATCCCGACAATCGGATTCAACACCAAAAGAGTGCAGAAAGGCCATGTGACCTTGAAATGGTATGTCCATCCTTCCCGATCAAGCACAGCGGCGCTAATACATCCCCGCAGCTGGGATCTGGGCGGGCAACCTCGATTTCGGCCGATGTGGGAACGGTATTGTCGGGGCGTCAACGCGATCGTGTAAGACTCGCTTATTTGCTCATTTCTTGGGTCCTCTCTCCCTTCCGGTTGGCATACTAACCAAAGTGAAGCTATATCGTGGATGCAGCAGACCGCGCTGCACTCCCAGTAGCGACAGAAGAACTTCACGACCTGATGAAAAAGCCCACGCTGCATAGCATCCCCCTCCTGGTCCTCGGGAACAAGTCCGATCTTCCAGACAAGCTGTCTGTTGATGAGATCATCGAGGCGATGGATCTGAAATCCATCACCCATCGCGAAGTAAGCTGCTATGGTATTAGCGCCAAGGAGGAAACCAATCTCGACGCTGTCCTGCACTGGCTCATTGCCCGAGCTAGCCGGTGAGGATACTGCCCCTTGTGTCTGCCAGCTTTGGCCTTCAACCTCAACTCGCGATATCCCTTTCGTTTTTCATACCCTTAACTGTCTCGCATTTTGAGTGTGTTCATCTTCCGTAGACTCTAGCATATTTGGTCCGCAGCCTCGGATGTAACGATGTTGACGATGTAGTCTTCTCCTTTTTCCCCTTGTTGCTTATGGATTCGGGAATCCATGATGATGATGTATGTTAATGGTCATGTGCGCTTCGTTTGATCCCTGTTTTTTTTTTTTCTTTACCAGTTTCTTTTTCCTGATCTCTTCCCTGAATTGATGTGTAATAGAATGTTTTCACA